ATAAACTTAGCCGGCTATGGCATGGCAGGGAAACAAATAAATATTGTAATACAAAATGTAATTGTCGGGGAAACGTCTTGTCGGAGAAACGTCCTGTCGGGGAAATGTCTTGTCGGGGAAACGTCCTGTCGGGGAAACGTCCCGTCGGGAAAACGTATAGGTACCATTCCGATATCAATAATACCTCTTCATTTCCCAATATTGCCTTTTTATTTCCTAATATTGCTTCATGAGCTAATTTTTCGCGACATGAATTTTATTTGTCTCAGACTAGAAGGAGTTTTTTGATCAAAATTAAATTCCGCGCATAATTTGATTATTTACTTGTTCAAATTCAACCTTCAAGATTCCCTTGTAAACTAACTTGTTCTGATATATAGTTCTTGATACTACAAAAAGAGGTTGTGCTGAAAAGACTAAGTAATTCTATAAATTATATCTTAGATATTTGCAATGAGGTAAAATTTGAAAGATATTATTTTTCATAAATATTATTTTGCAGCTTTTTAGTTAGATAGTTTTATTTTTCTGTTAACAAATGTTTTAAAATTATAAAAGATCCCAAATGAAAATGGTTGGTTAATATTGGTATTTGAGCATATCCAAAATGGAGATTTACATACTTGGAAAAATAAAATTTTCATCACTTTTTTGGATTTCAGGCAGTGCGGGGTTTGTGTTATATATTGAATTTAGCCAATCAACGTTAAATTTTCTACCGGAAGAACAAATTTGATTGGCTAAATTCAATATGTAACACAAACCCCCGCAAACACTGATTTCAGGTGGTAATTCTTATATTTTATTAAAAATGAATAAATAATTTACACAGTGGTAATATTAATAGCTTCACATTATCAAACCATTTTCTTAAAACATATATTATAAGGTATTATATTATTATTTTAAAATAACCACCATATAACTAAATAATAATACTATGCTTCCTGCTGTTACTGCAAAAGCATAAAGTGCTAATCAACAATGTTAACATCAACAGATATTCAGGGTTCCCAGGATGGCTTGGATTCATGACATATCCAGAGCAGTTTACTCATTGTTATTAAATGTTGCTTGCGACATAAGTGGATCAATAAATATGTACAATCCATTTTAATTTCAGTATCATTTTTCCATTCCTTCATTTGACCTTTTTCCAGTTATCATTAAAAGGTGGGAGATGAGAAACACCAAAAGTACTCATAATTTTCATGTTCTGACTCCTGCTTTAAATGCTCTATTAATAACAGCCACCCGCTATTTTTATAGGTAACTAAAATGTCATCATCTCTGTTCTCCTTTTGATTTGAAGAGAGGCAATGAGTACTTGAAAATTTCCATTACAATTTCTGTTGAGGTATCTCTTGCACCTCTTTATGTGAGCTTTCAAAGCCTTTTAGCATCCATTTGATTATAAATAAATGAGCAGCATATTCTCACTGTAAAATATCTAAATGGTAGATTGTGCATCTTCAACCTTAGGTAAATGGTTACTTAATTTTGCCTGAGCATAAATAAAATACCTAGTTGAAGAAAATAATCAAGGTTGTTTGCTACAAATCATATTAGCCACAACATTGGCCCAGCTTGTAGTTCTGATAAAAAGAATGGAGACAGTCAGAACTTTTTAGTTAGTATATGTGCAAATTATGCTTATATTGTGCACTAATCTCTTAAAACTGTTTTCCTGATGAAAGTGGAAAATTTTGATGAGCATATTAATATGGGGTGTGGATGAAATGGGATAACTACCAAAATCGTGATTATGAATTAACACAACTTCTATATGCAATTCACCAAAAGGATTAATTTCAGCTTAGAAACTATACCAACTTCTGCTAAATAAAATTTCGTGATATTTTCCGTTAAAGTTTTTTTTACAAACATGTGGGTATGGACAATAGAAAAAGGGAAAACTACCAAATTCGTGATTTCCATAAGTGCATACAAACCATTTATGAGTACCCCTATTCTTTAATCATTCTGAGATGTTTTAATTTGCTCGAGTAATTTTAGTTTTTCTCTTTTGTCTAATCTATTATTAATTTACTCTACATTTTCTTGAATTTTGGTAAGTTTCTTTGGGCAAGTTAATTGTTGATGGAAATCTCTATGTTATTTTATCATTGCTATCACTAATATCAAGATTGAAATTCTTTTGTATTTGGTTAGATAAGTCATAAAAGAAATCATTTGTAAAAGTAATATTTTGATTAATTATTTTAAAGAAAATTTAATTCCAACAGTCACTTTTCCATATAAACAAATTTCTCCAACAAATGTTAGCTGAAATTATATACAAGACTATTTGGACTCTAGTCAAAAATAAACCAAATAGCATGGTTATTTTATGTTCATTCATGTAAAGATCCAAATTATTCTGGACTATACAAGTATTAGAATGAACTAATTCCAAATCATTGGAACAATCTCCAAAACCAAATCATCAACTTCAAACAAAACAATATTAAATTTAATCATTGTTTTCAGAATATAAGGTTCAAGAATGTAAAAGCTGTAATAAAAATGTTATACTAACAATTATATGACATCAAAGAATAGTTGCTATAAAAGAATTATAAATGTCAAACACCCATCACAAGAATTGATTGTGAAGAGAGGAAAGTAAATGTGAATTAGTATTAGTGGAAGAACATGTAGCATTAGATTGAGTATAGTACACTTTGTGCAGTGAGTACTGTACAATAATGTATAAATTGTACTTGCATGTCTTTTTGGATTTGGTGCACAGAAATTACTGTCTGTTCTAACTGCTATAATTTTACTGTTTGTATTATATTCACTGCACCAAATATGCTGTACTCAACCTGCATACATCTGTCCATTAAAAAAAATACTGAAAACAAGTTAAAGGATGCTTCAATTGAATTTGAATTGTCTTAAATTTTTCAAGACAAGTAGTATAATATAAATAATAATACCAATATGTGCAACAGAATTGATTGTGGAATAAATTAAAACAATTTTAATGTCATAAATGAATAAATTTTTTAGGTAGAATATCAACTTTTTTTGATTTTGATCAATGTACCTATATTATTTTTACTATCAATTATCCATCAATATCTTCAATAATAACTGTTGAATGGTTACCAATTGGTGGTGACAATGGAGCCTTTTTATCTTTCTTAATGTTGATAATTAGATTGTATAATCTGGTAATAATATTATTGGCAATAGTGATTGAACTTGTTATCAAAGTTAAGAATGGAATTATGCCATATGATATTGTAGAGTTTATATAGATAACCTAGAAAATAATAGTGTTAATGAATCCTTTTTTTTTAATTAAAATATTCAAAGAGTTGAATTAATTATAATTTAAATGACCAACCTGGATAATAAACTGTGGTATATCTTCAATAAAAAAATTTACAAAACTGCACCAAAATATTAATGACAAAGAAGTTGATGAAAATGGTGCAAAAAAAGGGTTCAATCCTGCTATTTTTGATGATAATATCAACAATGTATCAACTTCTGTACTTGAAATTACTGTAAAGATTGCCAAAATATTTACATATTTTTTAAACCATTCATAGAATTCTTGATTATTACTAATCTCTTTGATGACTATAAAAATGCTTGATATAGAATTAAATATAATTGATAATATCAAGATAACCATACTAAAAAAAAAATAAGTTTAAAAATCAATTAATTTATGAATTATTCAATTATTCAGTTAATAACATTATTAATAAATACCTTGGTATAAATAATTGTGGAATATTTTTACCATTATTGATTATAAATAAAATATCCAATATAAAATCAGTAAGAATCAAAAAAAATTTCAAAATAACAATATTACTACCCTAAAAATTATTAAATATTATTACTAATAATATTTAATAATTATTGCATTAATTAATATTATTAATACATTATTATTTTACCTCTGGATGTTTTTTATGCAAATACCACATTGATATTATAATAATAGAAATCATTATTAAAACAATTATTAAATGAATTTTATAATCTTTCAAAAGTTCAAATAAATTTCCTATCAAGTATACAAATATTTAATTAGTATTAAATCACATATACAGAATTATATTTCATTTTTATATTATTTATTACTTCTTGTATATATAAAGCCATAAGTCTCATCAATTAAATTTGTATAATTATTTCTTGATATCCCAGTGATGAATTTATTTCTAATCAATATATTTAAGTTATCTATGATTTTAGCAACATTAATTTCCTGTGAATCTCCACTATCATTAATTTTAAATAATAATAACAAAGCTGGTGGTGATATTGAATAATCCATCTGAGTTTGAATCAATTTCAAACGAATTGGATTGATTGGTATTATATTAGCTAATTCTTTTTCCAAATTTTCATTAAATTCAGATTTATTTGTTGAATCCAAATTAAATAAATTTGTCCCCTCTACATTGAGTCTCATAATGCCATTTGCTGAATCTAGAGTTTTAATAAAATTGATTTAATTATTAAAAAAAATAAAGATTGCTAATTTAATCTAAATTCATAAGATTTTTTTTACCTGAATATTGAAAAGCTACATTATCTTTAAAGATAATTAATTTATTAATTATTCAATAATAACAATGTTTTGATAATTGAAAAATATTTTACAACTATTAACATTTTTACCTGTGGTAAATTTCCATATATTTTTACGAATACCTGTCAATGAATGGTTGGTGGAAGATAATTTTAATGCGTCATCATCAACTATAACATAATAGCTTGTATTAGCAAGATTAAATGTACTTGTTAATATTCGAATATTAAGACTTTTTTTATCATCACTTATTTTACAATATGAGGAACTAGCTGAAAATGATTGTCTCAAAATATCATAACTATTATTTGTTTGATAAATTGTAATATTATTAATAGATGGAACAATTGATAAATAATATGTTATGTTGATTTCTTCACTGTTTTTTCTATTACTCCATTTATTGGTGGGTAAGTAACGTTAACATGTGAATTAAGATATCCTTTATCTAATAATTAAAAAGCAACTAAATTAGGTATTTAATCAGATTTTAAATATTCTATATATGATAAACGTAATATGATAAATATAATATAAAAAATAATATACCATCTGGCAGAAGTTTAGGAACTTCAGTTGAAATTAATTGCCAATTTTTATTATCATTTTCATTAGGTATAATTGCAACAAATGTGTTATTGTGAAGTAACATTCCAAAATTTAAATGTTCTGGAAGAAATGATGAAATTGTTAAATTATTTGGCAGATCTAAAGTTGAATTTATCTTCAAATCATCATCTAATAGATATACAGTTATTGTTGATTTATTTTTATATGTTTCACTTTGTGAAATAGAGCTGACTAAAAATCCACCATAATATAGTGGATTTGGTATAAGAAGCAAAGAATTTTGAAATTGGTCAAACTCTAATGGTTTAACACTTTTAACAGCACTAATAAGTTAAATATTAGGTTAATATTAATTAAAATATGACTAGGGATATGTAATGATGATGGTTTTGAATAAAAATTTACCCATTTGATGAAAATAAAATTCTCATCCAATAATTTTCAATTTTAGATAATTTCAAAGCACATCTATATCCTATGATGGTATATCCAGTACCACAACGCATCATTTCAATTTTTAAATTTACATCTGCAGATTGATATATCAAAAATTGTTCAACTACTTCATTAGGATATATTAAAGAAACATATATGAATGTTGATGGTTGATTTGGTTTATGATTTTTTGCACTATTGTTATTTTTAGTAATTGTTGTATTAGCAATAGCAATTCCAAATCCATTATTTAAAGCTGGAAAACAATCAATCGATAAATAATTTTCATCTTCCAATAGTGCTTGGACAATAGTTCCGGTTTTCAATTTGGTTATTTCTCCATTTTCATTTCTAAATATTTATAAATATTTAAGTATTTATATCTCAATCATTATAATTGATTAAGTTCATAAAATAATTATGGTGAATTAAAATAAATCCATTGAAGATCATTTGAATCTGTTTTAGTGTTAGCCAACAAGAATCCATCAGTAATGCCTTCATTTTCTATACCAATTTTTTTAATATCTATCAATCAGCGAGCATAATCAGCATCTTTGGGGCTTAAACCAATGTTTATCCACTCTCTGGCTTGTTTATATTTGAATTCTCTTTTTTCCCACTCTTTTTGTAGTTCAGGAGTAAATCCTGCATGAATAGTTATATGGGTGTTGATATATGCCTCCATAAAAACTTGTTTCCCCAATATGAAATTCACCGGATTGGATTTAATAAATTTGTTTATTTAATCAAAGCTAATAAATTTATTTTTTACCTAATAAATTCTCCACTTATAGATAATAAAATTCCATAAGTTGCTGATGAATTGACATTGGTAGAATTTGTATAAACTAACACTCCATATTTTGGTAAAATTCTAATTATCATTAGAGTAAATCTATTACCATCAATTGTCTTAATCTGACAGAAATTAAACTCAGGTATTGGATATATTTGGGTAGAGGTTTCTACTGTCCCATTAACATAAATAACCCTAATGTAAAATTTTGGCACAAAGCATGTTTCATTAATGGGTATAATCATATAAATAACCAGAGTTCCATCTATAAAACAATGTATTGAATACATAAAGACCAGATTCATTCTCATTGTATGTTGTTATTCTATAAGAATTTACATGTTGATGATTTAGGAAAACTATGCAAAAAAGCATCAAAAATATCATCAACTCAAAAATTTTTCTAGCCATATTCAAAGGAAATTTAGGAGTTCTGCTTAATAGAATTTTCGATTTGTTGGAAATTTTCTAGAAATTTTTTATATCCAATAAAGCAGGGATTTAAAATTTTTTTTTTTCAAAACTCCTTGTTGAAACATAACATATTCAGTTTGTTTTAATCAAAGCTCCGAATGGGAGCCATGAAATAATAGGCTCGATGTTACATAAATCTTTTTTTTTCAGGTAATGAATGATTAATTCTACTATTTCATAATCCATTCATTACCTAAAAAACAATTTCTTGAACTTGGCTGCTCAATCATTCGAATAAAACAATAAACGAATAAAATGGATAAAAAGAATAAACGAATAATTTCAACTCAACAATAATAATCGTTTTTGCATTTCGCTCACAAATATCTGAGCAAACATCGTGAAATCAAACTACCTCGTTTCAACGAATTATAATAAAACGTGATTAGTAATTTTGGTAGAGCTTTTCACTGGATTATCCAATGTATGATATTAAATAGTAGCAGATAACGGATAATCCGAATAAATAATCCTGGAATAATATTTTAATGAACTAAGTGAAGAAATTTAAACTAGTAGAAAGACTTTGGCCGGCTAAGAACTTAAATAATTCCAGCTGATAAAAAACTTTTCAAATGGCACTAATCTTGCCGGTATTATTATTACTATTATTTACTATTGTTATATCCCGCCATTATGGCTATTTAATGATACGAATAAGGTTTATTCGAATTATTTATTCGTTATGAATTTGAGTATTCAGATAAAAACAAATAAAATGAATAAAACGAATGATTCCAATAGAGCAAAACTAAAACGAATAAAACGAATTAATATTATGATTGAGTTGTATTACGAATAATTCTAATAAAAATTTGTATTACTTTTATCCTGCTACGAGTATTGCTATTTTCTTTGAGCAAATGTATGTATGTTTTTTGTCATTCAAAGTAATGTAGATGGACTCATCTCAACTAAGTGTCTATGCCACTGAATTCTGCACTAAACTTCCGGACGCAAAAGTGAATGTTAAAAGAAAATTTTTTTGACCAGCTTAACACGACTAATTATGACACAATTGTAGAGGTCGTACCCACTGAATACTCATTTGTTTTATAATTCATAACCATTTGGTGAATAATTAAAAGATTCAGATTTATTTGATTATTAAATTAATTATTCAGTGAATGATTATTCAGTGAATATTCATTGTTAACAAAAATTTTAAATTTTACATTCTATCAAAATTATCAAATCAAAAAAAAAGCAATCTTTTCAAATAAAAGTGGATAAGTTTGTTCTAATAAATGTGTAATATAGTTAGATATATATATATTCACATCATTACAATAAACAATAACATCAGGAAATTCGGAGACATTAACTCGATAAATAGCTCCTTTAAATTTTCCCCGTCATCTTTTACAATTTCAGCTTTTTCCATCAAGTTCCATATCCAATATGACTTCTTAGAACCATTCTTTACTTTCTTTTCTTCAAAACATGAACAGCAGAAGACTCCTTCCCTCCAATTACTGTATTATCAATTTCTCCTATTATAGTGACTGAAGGCTCTTCTTCCGTCTCAAATGAAATAAATGATTTAAATTAAACAGATGAATTTATTTCAATTAAATTACACGAGATATCGATTATCAGTTATTCACTATTATTATTATTATTACATTTGGTCAATCAATGAATGCAAGCCTCTACAAAATTGACCATAATTCACTTTATTTTTATTTTTGTGTACTTAAAAGCAAACAAAATCTTTTAAAAAAGTAAACTATGTACGTATTGTCTAATAATCACATTTATAATGTTAATATTTATTAATAATGTTAATATTAATAAAATGTGGCTTTTCGATTGTCCGAATTAACTTTTTAGCTACACTCGTCGATTAATTGCAAGATTTTATATTCAATGCTTGTCAATTAATTTGTTTACGAATTTGTTTAAACAACTGTCTTGTTTACTGCCTCTTTCTTGTACCTAGAAAGTTTCGGCGAATCTGTAGGAACACTTTACAGTACTAATAATAACTAATTACAATAAATAAAGGCAGATCTTCTACGTAGCAACACAAGCTCCTATAGAGTTCATATTTATTTACTTTACTTGTACTTTCTTTGACGATTTTAATTCAGCCATGCATTTGCAATGATTACTTTATACAATACAATGAAAAAACAATGAAATAATAAAACGATTTGACCAATAACTGCTTGTTCTTTGTATAGGTGGTCAATCAATAATAACTTTTAACGTGTAATACTTTAAACAAATGAACCAAAACGTTTACACTTATCAAAAATCAAAGCTTTGCTTTCTTTACTGAAGCAAATAACCAAAACTTCAGAGTTATATACCACCATGATAACCAAATGAACCATTAAAACCCACTAGTTAATTCCCACCACAAAAGCGAAAAGGAATTAATTTGTTTTATTATTAATTTTATGAAAATTTTTATCACAAAACGAATTATTCGCAAAAGAAATAATTTTTATATTGACCTTTTCCCACTACCCTTATGAGCAAGACCTGAAATATTAATATAAAATTATTAATTAATCAGTCGATTAATTGATTGTTTTTTCACTTGTCAAAAAGTGACATTATTTATAATAAGTTTAATCCTTGATTATTTTTGTTTTAAATAATATATATATAAGAAATAAATAATAAAACAAATTAAATGTGAAATAATGAAAATGTGAATATAAATATTAATAAAATGCATCTATCAAAATACCATCCTCACAATACACAAAACATATAAAAATAATATATCATTTCTCTAGTAAAAAAATTTTAGATGAGATTATATAACATTGATTTTTATTATTTTATACATGTCGTTAGGGTTGTGTTGGTCTTTAAATGACCGGTCCCTTTGAACCACCGTCCTAAATTTTAGGACCGGTCTTGGACCGGTCTTTATAAGACCAGCTGATCTTTCTCAAAAGGAAATTTTGAACAATAAAATTTTTATCTTTTTTTTTTTGAGTTTTTTATTTTATTCGTTATTATTATGTTTTATTGAAGGCCAAACTTTTGTTAAAAAATTAATTCTTCTTTTTAAAGGTGGGAATCGTCCAAAAAATCCTTAGTCGACTACTAGTTGGTCAAAATTTCTTTTAGTCGACTATTTAGTCGACTAAATTTTTTTAATACTAGCGTGTAACCATTTGCTTCGCAAAATGGTCACACTAGTCACGGGAATAACATCTTATTTAATTAGAATATTCATTCTGTTTCATTATTATTAACGTTTTTTTTTTAATTTGCAGATTACAAATTCATCTCCATTTGAATCTTTAATTTTCTCGAAATACTTCCATACGAAGCTATATGTTATAATTCGTTTTTTTAAAGGTCTGGAACCACTGCTTGAGCTCGAAGCCAACGAATTGTTGGAATGATTTGACCTTGTATCAATGTTTATTATTTCGCATGGATAATTATCGCCAACACCAGCACCAACACCACCATTATCATCTTCTTCATAATATTGATACTCCGCATATTTATTTTTATTATTTTCCATTATTTTTTAAATGTTTTGTACCACAAAAAACGTTTTCATTTATAATTGGCCAGACAATAATAATAATTAGTATTAGTTGACTATTAGTTGTTTAAAAAAAAAGTTAGTCGACTATTTTAGTCGATTCCAACCTCTAAAGTAATTAAAAAAAATTTGAAAATTTTTCTTGAATTTGATACATGGGCGCAGTAATTTGATGGCTTATGTTACGCACTGTACTATGTAAATTCGAATTTTACTATATATGTTTTACAACCTCCTATAGATCGGCGGGAAATGTCCTGTGTATTAAATCGCGTTTCAACGGACAACGGTTTTTTTGGTAGTAATAGGATTTTAGTGATAATAATAAGTACTAATCGCGTTACAACAGATTCACGTGAAAAAAAAACCACGTTACTATGTTGAGATTAATTCATTGCTAATATGATTTACATGAATAATTCTCACATTGTTAAATAATAATATTAATCGAAATTTTCCATAATGATTTTACACGAATAATTAAACACACATCACTAAATAAGAATATTAATCAGATTTTCCATATTTCTAAATTGATAATAAATAAATATCTTCTAATAATTCTATATAATCAACATTTCTTTGATTTCTTTAAATTAATAAATCTCTAAATTCTACGAAATTAAAATGTCTCAACAACTATCTTCTTCTTCCAAAAAACGTGAAAAGTTTTTGAAACTACTTTTAATTTTCTTCTTACTACAAGCATATATAGAAGGATTGAGGCATGCATTTCTAGTGGTGGATGGCCAACTCGATATTAATATTAAACTTTATTAATACAAATAAATATTTTGTTGATCATCATCATTTTCATCGAGTTTCGGATTTTTTTTAATTAGACGTTTTAAGAATACCAAAATTTACATATATATTTATCAAAACCTAAACTACATTTGATAAAATTTTATGTATAGTTATTATGTGTAGTTTTGCGCAATCAGTAAAAACCAGGTGTCCGAAAACTTTTGTCTAGGGTGTGTATATTTCAATGGGTCATTGATAGAGCATAAAAAAAACAAAGAAAAAACATAGGTTAGTAGTAACATTTCAAAACAATAATATATATGTCACTCAAACAAACAAAAAAATAAATAAACGAATGGAATAAATGGAAAATAATTTGTGTATTTTTTTACGCAATTTGTTCAATTTGTTCGTTACCTTCCCCTTCGTTGAATTTGGATAATTCTTTTTATCCGCCTCCAACACTTCTATAATTTTGATCCCTGAAATCTTTTGGTATATAGTGCGATGTTCACTTGCAAGCATATCCCCATATTAATATATATAACTTTTTGAAATTTCGGCCTATTATATTAATATATTAATTAATATGCTATTATTGGTCAAAAAGTTCAAACAATTCTATTTTGGCTGCTAGTAAAATCAAATATTAATTTCATTTCAGTTTCATCATTATTAATATTAATATTAAGAGAAGCAATTTCGGATAACATACTAATACATATTAATATTCTTAAAAATTCTTGAATCAAGATCCACCGTATTCTTGGTGTAACATTATTTAAATTATACGACGCATCTTTTTTTTAATGAATCAATCTTGATCTATTCATTTATTTTAGATTATTTAGATTACTAGATTATTATATACAATTATTTTTTACAAAAAATAACTACAAATAAAAAATGAAAATTATCAATAAAATACAAAAGGCAATGGAGGAAGATAGACCATTCTGGTCA